GTGGTCCACTCAAGTGGATTTGGAAATCTTGGTTCTAGAAGTTGTAACAGTTTAGGGTACATCCAGAGTTGGAATATATTAGGGAATAAAATCAGACAAGAAGACAGAGGAGTGAACAGAGAGGTATTAAGAGAAGCAAGAGGGGGGGCTTCCCTGGTGGCGCAGTGGTTGAGAGTCCGCCTGCCGATGCAGGGGACACGGGTTCGTGCCCCGGTCTGGGAAGATCCCACATGCCGCAGAGCGGCTAGGCCCGTGAGCCATGGCCGCTGAGCCTGCGCGTCCGGAGCCTGTGCTCCGCGACGGGAGAGGCCACAACAGTGAGAGGCCCGCATACCGCGAAAAAAAAAAAAAGAGAAGCAAGAGGAAACAGTGTCACGAAAAAGTAATGGAGGAGAGAATTTCTGGAATAAAAAAGTGATAACTAGAATAAAAAAATGATAACTGTATCAAACAGACCTGAAAAAGTTTGAGGACAAAGAACGGACCACTGGATTTACTCAGGAAGTCACTTATGACAACTTTCTGTGGAGTGGTAAGAAGTAGAAACTGAAGGAAAATAATTTTGGACACAAGAGGATAATAAAAACACAAAGGCAAGGAGTCCAGGCTATACATCCAAAGATACTGGAAAGGAAAAAGAAATAGTATGGCAATCAGAATGGACTGCATGGTGAAATGAGAACTTCTTGATTTTTTTCTAGATGGGAGATTTGAGGGTATAATGGAGAAAGAGCTACTGCAGAAGTTTTAGAGGAATGATAAAATCTAACCAAGTCAAGCTGGCTGACAGCAGCATGAAAGAGGAAAATGGTGCAGACAAGTCACAGCAGAATTTTATCCTTTTATTTTACCCAAATCTTCCCCTCTGGAGGAGACGGTGACTAAATGTCCAATTAAGCCCTGCAAAGGCTTGGCATTCTGACTTTCAACACTGACACGCAAGCTGAGCCTGATGGAGACTGAGAAGTGGGCTTCCTAGAGGTCAGCCTCCATGACAGTGGACCCATTTTATTGTCTTCTAAGTCAGGCCTTCTGCAGGAGCCAGGAAGCTTCCCTGGCCCCATTTATATGAGCGCCCCACGCCATGAGCTTCCACTGCATCCTTAATTCTCCCAACAATTTAAAGTAAGTTGTTTAGCCCCCCACTGGACTATAAACTCTGGGAGGGCAGAAACTGTACCTGCCCCATGCACTGTTTTACTTCCAGTGCCCAACACAGTGGGCTAGTACTTGGCAGGAACTTAATAAATACTGGCTGGATGAAAAAATGGTTAACAGTGATTATATCTGTCCTAGGTTCCACTCGGCCTGGTGCTCATAATGCCTGTCAATTTTGATAAGTAATAACTCTTCAAAATACTACCAAGCAGAAGGATATTTTCCCAGGAAGGTACTACATGATTTTGAAACAGGTGGTGCACAAATGAGTATGGCAAGTTGCCAAAATGACACTCGGAGGCACGCACCAGAAGTGGTTTAATGGTACTTTCAACTTAAATGGTACTTGGACTCAAAAATATACGTCTCAGGCCTGGAAGAGACCTCAGAGGTTATCTAACACAATCCACCACCATCCGCCACCCCCACTAAACGCTCAAACATATTCCTCATTAGTCCTAACATTAAGTGACCACTTAGAACCCACTTGAATACCTCTAGTGATAGAAAATCCATCTGTTTATAAGAATGCCCACTCCATTTTTGGATTGCTTTAGTTACTAGAAGATTCTTACTTGTGATGCATGCATAGCTTTTACATATTGTATTGGTCCCACAGGTCAATGTAACTACAGTACGTTCTTTCCAATTATCTGGGGAAAGCCACAATGTCCTCTCCTAAGGCTTCTCCTCCCCTCCTCCTTTAATCCTCTTCAGATGATCCTCATGGCATTTGAAAGGGATGTCTACCTGTTATCTTGTCATTCATGCTTTTATAGAAGCCACAAAATCATGAAAATGTACTATAGTACAAAACTAAGGCAACATATATAGTCACATGGGAAGGAAAACAGCAAAATATATGCAAAATGGAGACCTATTAGTATTCCTATTCCATCTGACTATGTGTGACTCTTAATTCTCTTTCTATCTTAATTATGAAATATCCTTACCTTAATCCAGTGTTCCACATTGTCAGGGTCAAACACAGGCTGTAGATAATATATACAGAATATTAGTACCCAGCAATGTATCTATCAACTTTGCCATTTTAATTTGTCTTTCTGGTTGAAGCCTGTGGACAAGCGTCCTTTAGTCTTTCCCCAAAGCATTGCATTAGAAAGTTCAGCAACAAAAAAAATACAGAATGCTGGTAGGATGAAGAAAACACGAAGCCTTCTCTGGAACAACTTTTGACTGCTTTATCTCTTACTTAGGCCCATCTCCAGATTCTGATTTAATTGGTCTGGGGTAGGGCCCATGTGTCAGTATTTTTTTAAAGTTCCCCAGGGTTAAGAGCCAAGACAGAGGAATGCTACATATAATATTGCTTATAAAAACCCACATAAGCACTGATTAATTAGCCAGGTTATCCAAGTGTCATGGAAGCAAATCTGCTTGGAGAAAGGTGTGCGCCTCTCCCCAGACCCCTCTTTTCATGAGTAACTTGTATTTACCTAGAGCAAGGATATTGTTTGGTCCAATAAGAAATGGGGGGTAGAGTGAGGGATAACCAATCTTCCACTGTTTTACAGAGCAAAAATAAGGCAGAAATCACATAAATTTCTACCCAGGTCAGTCAGATATTAATCTGAAATTAGAAATCAGACCAGTAGGATACCTGCTTTCTTCGCTCTCTGTTAAGTCTCAGAAGTTTGCAGAATTCCCTCTAATAGCAACTTAACAAATAGAGGTATTTGCTTTGCTAATAATTCAGGTGGGTTTTTCAATAAATAAGGGAATATCTAAACGAGCATGCTGACACATACAGGAGGGAAAGGTATAATACTATCCTTCACTTATATAACACTTCCCCTACAAAGCACCTTACAGATAACTAATTAATGCAGCTGTACTGCTGAATAATTTTGTGGCTGCAACAAAGAAACAGCTGATCCTATTCAAACACAATTGAACCTCAAGGATCTCTTGTTTTTTACCTTTCTATCCTCTAGGTAGTAACAATGAGCACTAGCAGCAAAAACTTTCCTTTTGGGGTCCCCAAAACTGTCCCCAGTTTTTACCTTTCATCATCAAGTTTATACCCATAACCTACTTTGGATCCAGTCTATTATGGAACTGGTACAACAGGAGCAGACTCTGTTTCCAAGTCTCTTTAACGCTCCAGTCTGCACACTCCAGCATCTGGCACAAGATATTCACCAAGTAAAGTATGTCCAGTGCATTATTTAGCTGGTATATTTAGAATAACCTGCAAGCACAATTGCCTAGGGGCCACAGAAACACCACATGTCTACGGAATATTTTTTAAGGAGGGGTAACTTAAGGGTGAAAACAGCTGTAAGCTGAGAAGTCCTCCATTTGGTACTCCCATTTACATTTAAAGCATTCATTTTTGTGACTGTTAAAAAAAGTAGTCTGTGGGGCTTCCCTGGTGGTGCAGTGGTTGAGAATCCGCCTGCCAGTGCAGGGGACACGGGTTCGAGCCATGCTCCGGGAAGATCCCACATGCCGCAGAGCAGCTAAGCCCATGCGCCACAACTACTGAGCCTGCACTCTAGATCCCGCGAGCCACAACTACTGAAGCCCAAGCACCTAGAGCCCGCGCTCCACAACAAGAGAAGCCACTGCAATGAGAAGCCCGCGAACTGCAACGAAGGGTAGCCCCCTGTCGCCACAACTAGAGAAAAGCCCGCGCGCAGCAACGAAGACCCAACGCAGCCAAAAATAAAGAAATTTTTTAAAAAAAGTAGTCTGTGTAAAGCACACTCCGTGTGACTGTGACTTTTCACATGTCATTTACACGTTTCAAGTTTACAGTGGGGTTATCAGTTTTCCATGTCTTTGGATGCTAATGCATCAAAGAAGGTGGCAAATATAAAGAGGATCTATTTTTTGATTGTTTCTACAATTTAGATTTTCAAGTGAATCAAGTATTGATATAGTCAATATCCACTTGCATTTCTGAGTTCATTTTAGATACTTTATGTAAAACTAGAAGGGGAGGAATATGAGGCCGAGGACTTAAGGTGAAGATCTTACCCCTCCAACAAAGAAGTTTCCTATGATTTGCAAAACATTAAAAAAAAAAAAAAAAGAAGAAGAAGAAGAATGAAAGAAAAGAAAAGAAAAAGAAATGAAACCGTGTGGGAACTTCCCTAAAACCAGGAGTGGTGGGGAGCCGGGATAGCTCTCGAATTCTCTTCACCGGGATGGGCACTATCAAGACTCTCCGGTTTTCGAGAAAAGCGTTAGATGGAAACAGTTCTTGCACGACGCTGCCCATGAAAGCCGTAAGGTAACCAAGCCCCAAAGTTCCTAGGCCCCCTTCACTTAGCGCAGTGCTGGCTCTCAGTGGGTCATGGCAGGAGCGGACCAGGTAATGATGCCCCTGGGGCAAGAGGGAGGACGCGCAGGTGGGGCTGCGGCTGGCCTTAGGGCCGGTCCCCGCCTCCCCTCCCCTCTCCTCTCCAAGAGCTCCCGATAGGAATGGATCACCTTGGTGAGACTCGGCTTCCTTGTAAACTGTTTCCATCCATTCAGCCCCGACCTCTCCCTTGAGGAGGTCCTTTCCTGGGGCGCTAGAAGCATTTTCCAGGCTCAGGGCCGGACTTCGGCCAAAGCCGAAACAACCGCTCCTTTGCCTAGACTGCTTCCGGGGCTCCCTGGGAGTTGTAGTTCCTCTGCCCACAAAGACTGCAGGTGTGGGGCGCCGTCGAACCACCACTCCCAGGAGGCTTTGCGCAGGCGGAAACGTGTGTGCTCAGTTACCCATGGCGACGGTAGCAGTCCCTCGGTCTTGCAAACACCGAAGCTCATTTTCAATTACCTTTGCCTTTTCCTGGCGCCCGGTGATGACGCAATGCTCCCTGATTGGCTCTGCATCGGAGGCAGTGGTTCAGGGAGCCGAGAATTCTGAAAGCTGGACACGTGGTAGCGAACGGCGAGGAGCTTAAGGGGTCTCAAGCCCAAAAAAGTTGGGAGGTTTGCAGGTAAGTGCCCCCTTTTCCTGTTGGTGTGGGAGCTGCTACGCGTAAGGGGAGGCTGCTGCGAGAGAGTCGCGTCGCGTCTAGACGCTTCCTGGTTGTGTTGCGGTAACTGTGATTGTACTGGCGCTATGTCTCTTTCATTTTTCTGGGTCTCCTGGTGGATCCTGGCTTCTGTAAATCCAGATTCTCCCAAATCGTGTGAGCCTCACCGCATCTCAGAGAGAAAAGTGTCTCCTTTCGACCGGGCTCTGCTTAAAGGTCAAGTTTCCGTGCGCAAGTTTTTTCTAGACTCCCCAGGATGCTTGGGAGGGTTGGACCGATCTCGAATACCTGATCTAAGCGCTTCGCGAGGTCTGGGGCCCCTGGAGATGGCCCATGGAGTGAAGCTAAATCCATCGTTACTGACTGAGCCTAAGTGTTCCCGGGGACAGTGCATGCTGGGATATGTAGGTTCATAAGGCAGGGTAGAGATTTAGACCCAGCTACTTTGTAGTTGTATAACCTTACGCAACTTGTTTAATAACTCTCGGACCCTCGATTTACTCATCTGCAAAATGGGAGCTATAGTACCTAAAGCATTAGAGTGTGGTACCCATTAAAAAATCAATGTATGTAGAGAACTCTGCCAGGAAACGTAAACTGAAATAGACTTGAGATTTGTCAAAAAAATCAGGGAAGCTGTGCCCTCAAGACTACTGCAGCAATCACAGGACCTGTTCCGTAACTTGAGTGTTCATCAGAAGGGTGATGGTAGATTAAATTGTGTTACATCCAAGCTATGCAGTATCATGAAGTAGTTATTTTAAAGGGTAAGTTAAATTCTTTGTCTCTTCTTCAGGAAAAATATCCGTTGTGTATTCCTGGGCGAAAAGCAAATTTCAGAGAAGTGCTTATAGTATAGTATATTTGCATTTTTTAAATTAAAAAACACCCTTTCTCATACAGTATATTTAAATGTTTGTGTGCATATATAGAAAGGTTGTACAGGTTGGAGGATGGATACAGGCAGAGAAGGGAGATAAAGGAAGACAAGAACAGTAATAACAGTATAGCAAAATGGAAAATATGACTGTAACATTATATCTTAACATTACAGTTAATTTGTAAACATTGCATATGTTTATGGACAAGATGGGACTTCTAATAGACTACCAGCGTATTAGAGTACAGCCTCTAAAGGCAGACTTCTATGATTTAAGTGGCTCTGCCACTTTGTAAATGGTCACTTTTTTAGCCTCAGTTTGCTCATCTGTAAAATGCCCGTAATAATAGCATCTGCCTTAGATTGACATGACAGTACATAATAGTGGAGTTAACATGTGAATAACAGGACCTGATACATAGTAAACACCCAATAAATGTTGCTACTGTTGTTGTTATTTCTTTAAATAGGTGAAACTAATTTAACTTTTATTGTGATTACTGACATATTTGGACTTACGCCTGCCGTCTTATTTTGTATTTTCTATTTTTGGTGTGCTTTTTGGTCTCTTTTCCTCTTTTTTTCCCTTAAGTATTAACCAATTTTTCTTGATCCTTCCCTGCCCCTCCCCAGCGGAATGGGAATTATCCATTTTCAGTAATCTTTTAATGCTTACTTAAAAATTTTTAAAATGCATACTTAAAGTTTAACATTATTCATGATCTCTCTCCTCCTCCCAAATAGTGTAAGAATTTTAGAATAGTACCTCTGAATAGTTTCCTCCTCATCTTCCATTACTAGTTTCTAGGATTTTAGAGTCCATCATTTCTGTATGTCTTTCTTAGTCAGCTCAGTGCACCATATTGTTTAGAAGTCCTTCAGACTTTTTTTGCATGCATATACAGACAGTGTACAGTGTGTGTTTGTGTGTGCATATTTATAAATATATATACGCAATTTTTCTTTTGCAAAAAATATGTTCACCTAAGCTTGCTCTTTTCCCTCAGTGTATTGTGGTCATCTTTCCATGACAGTCTGTAGAGAATCCATTAAGAAACATTTAAAAATCCCTTTTTTCCTAAGGGGATGGAAGGAGGGGAGAAATATGTGGCAATGGAGGTATTAAGATATGTACAATGCTGCCACAAGTGCAGGGAATCTTGGTTAGCCCTTGTAAAAGCATAGATCTACTTGTCCTTAAAGTGATTAAGAGTTTTTCCATTAACCATTATTTCCAAATGGCTCTTTTAATGGTTTTTTAAGACTTTACCAGGAAGTGAAAATGTAGATGTTTGTATATTGAGAAAAGACAACCCCAGAAATCTTAGAAGAGACTCACAACAAGTGAAAGGGAAAAGGGTAATGATATGAAGCCAAATAAAAACCAGTTAATATTTTGGAGACCGTTAGTTTGCTTCTTGAGAACTTTGCTTGGATTAATAGACTGTATCACTCCAAAAGCATGTTTTAAAAATACGTACATGAGGGCTTCCCTGGTGGCGCAGTGGTTGAGAGTCCGCCTGCCGCCGCTGAAGGGGACATGGGTTCGTGCCCCGGTCCGGGAGGATCCCACATGCCGCGGAGCGGCTGGGCCCGTGAGCCATGGCCGCTGGGCCTGCGTGTCCAGAGCCTGTGCTCCGCAGCGGGACAGGGACATCGAACTATTGAGGAACCTACATATATATATATATATATATATATATATATATGTACATGAATATGTGTATGTGTGTATATATTTACATTACTCCATAATAAAAACTTTTTGTGTTCAAGCCCCTAGAAAAAATGTGCAATTATAAAAACACTAACCGCAAATTGATCAGTAATGAGGGAAGGAAAGTACATTCTCTGATGCTTTCCTCAGATTTCTTCATATTTGCATTCATCCTCACAATACACAGAATCACCAGTAACAATTTATCTATTACAATACTTTTCTTTAGACGCGTTTGTCTACTTTTCCTTGCTTATACTTTTTCCTTTGATGCTGTGTCCATTTACTGTGATTAGGGTAGGACTCTTAAGAAACCCCGAACAGCAGAATGTGAGCACACAGCACCAGAGTCCCATACTGTGGAGAGAACCAAGTGGGTATTTCTCTCTAGCTGACCTAGTGGGTTCAGTACACTAAGCTAAGGATTTTCAGTTTCATCCTTAAAGTTATGGAGGTTAAACTTTTGTGCATTGTATCACAGGAGGACCCATCTCTGCATCTAAGAGCATGGTGGCTGAGGTCCTCTAGGACTACTGTGGACCTGTAATGACAGACCTTGGGTTAAGAATGAAGGAAGCTATTTCTTCAATTGAGGAAAGAGTGGGAAGAGGAGATATGCATATACAGACATTGTATTACTCTCACTTCAAAGATGTAATCAAAAGCTCAGGCCTCTTGGCAGAGACCTGGGTTCTAGACTAAGTCTGATTAATCTTGCTTAGCCTCAGATTTGTTATTGTGGAACGGCAGAGGGGATGGTCCATGAGGAGCCCTCAGTTTGGCGTCTCTGGTAGTAATGGTCAGACTTAACTATTTTCAGCATTTCTAAAGCCTGATGGCAATCATACATTACCTGGGATGTTAAACAGAAGTTTACTAAAGCGCTGTGGTTTGTTGTTTTTACCTGGAATTGAGTTAACTTGACATGGAAAAGCACATTATCTCATGCTTGTCAGCAGCTTTGATTGTCAGTCTTTTATGTTATTTATTAATAAACTGGAAAAATGAAAGGAGGGTTTGATGGGGAGAGATAATAATAAAAATTGGTAGCATTCTAGAATCCTAAACTTCATTTTTCAAACATGCTAATTTTATCCTATGAAGACTCTTCGTACTTTTATATGGATTTAATTTAAAAAATACAACTCCTGTGTACATTTAAACTCTTTACAAAACTTAAGCAGCTCAGATGAGACAGAACTTTTGGAGTAAGGGGAGGAACCAGCAAATTCTTCTCTCTAGGCCTTTCTGAAAACACGCGGGACAATGCAGTGTCTTCCATTCTCAGATGTGTGTGAGGGTAGTAAGCGCTAAGTTGTTGCATTATTAGTAATCTTGGTCCATTAAATTTTCATTAGTTCTTATTTATGTTTCAAAAACCTATTGTTCCATATTTGTTGATTCTAATAGTCAGAATAATAGGGTTGATTTATTAACTTTGAAGTGAATTTCTTACTTTCGTGCTTCCCCCGCTTCAGTTCTCTAGAACTTACTTAGATTGCAAAATACATTCTTTAACTTTGCTACAAATGGCTTCCAAGCTCTGTTAGTTTAAAAGATTTTTATCACTTGAAACCAGAAGGTTATGTGTATTATTTGATATATCAATAAGGAGTATGAGGGACTTCCCTGGTGGTCCAGTGGTAAAGAATCCACCTTACAACGCAGGGGACGCAGGTTCGATCCCTAGTCAGGGAAATAAGATCCCTCAAGCCTGCGCATCGCAACTACTGAGCTCGCACGCCTCAATGAGAGAGCCTGGGGGATACCCACGCGCTCTGAACGCCACCAGCCACAACTAGAGAAAACCCGCACGCCACAACTAGAGAGAAGCCCACGCGCCGCAAGGAAAGATCCCGCATGCCTCAACGAAGATCCCGCGTGCCGCAACTAAGACCCGATGCAGCCAAAAGTAAATAAAATTAATAAATAAATAAATCTTTTTTTTAAAAAAGGTATATGATTGTATAAACTAATGACTCTTCTTTTGTATTCTCTTGTATTTTCTATATTACATTCTCATTAGCCTGTAATTATATTTATTTTTTTGGTATAAACTTTCTTTTACTTTAACAGTTTTAATGTGTAATAGCATGGCTTTAAAAAAATAGCTTTTATATTACCCTTTGTTAAAACATAATAACTTTTTTCTCTTAACACTCTCCATTTCTGTGGGTTCCAGTGAGACATTTAATCTTTGTGATAACTTGAAATAATGAAGGTAGAGTCACAGAAAATTGACCAGCCTTTCCCCAAATACTTATACTATTTTTTATAATTCATGTTTAACATGAAATCACTTATTGAACCATACGGAAAGTAGTTATTCTTATTTCTAAAATTCAAAAGTCTGTTAACTATTTTATTTCAATATAAAAATTTATAACTCCCCAAAAAGTAATATATACATCCCTGAATATTTTTTAACTAATGATAAATAATGCTTATTTATTTGGTAACATCTTAAACAATGGTTGACTTTCAGCGTGTGGTTTAGTATAATGCTTAAGAGGATAGGATCTAAGGTTGGAACCTCTCAGAGAGCTGTATTAATTTATCTATTAATAAAACTGGGCCTAGCCTAAGTGGCAAAAATTCCAGAGGGTATGGTATCAGTACTTGCTGCAGAGACGCTGGTATTTCAAAATGCTGAATATCCAATGACATTTTGCAAATGATCTGCCATGCCTGGTCACTGAGTTTTACAGGGCATTTAAAGAAGTGGGGCCCATGGGCTTCCCTGGTGGCGCAGTGGTTGGGAGTCCGCCTGCCGATGCAGGGGACGCGGGTTCGTGCCCCGGTCCGGGAGGATCCGACATGCCGCGGAGCGGCTGGGCCCGTGAGCCATGGCCGCTGGGCCTGCGCGTCCGGAACCTGTGCTCCGCAGCGGGAGAGGCCGCAGCAGTGAGAGGCCCGCGTGCTGCAAAAAAAAAAAAAGTGGGGCCCAGGATTTGCTTCACTGAATAATAAATTAACACAGTCCAACAAAGTAATTGACCATGTTTTCTGATTTTTTTCCCTGTGTATCTGTGGAATTTAGAAAGTATATCTTTTTTGTTAATCAAATATTTTTCCTTCCCAATTATAAGAATAATGAAACGTTGCTTACGAATTGCATGGATGCCCACACAGTTTCTCACCTCTGTTTGGACACCGTATAAGAACAAAGTTGGAGAATAATCCCACCTCTCTGACATAACCTCTGTTTATCTTTTGATGTATGTTCTTCCATATATTTTAATAAACAGCAGAATGCTGTTTTGGAATCTGTTTTCTTCATTTAATTACATATTAGGAAAAATTGCTATGTTGCCTAGTATTCTCTCAAATTAGAGAAAGAAAAAAATAGATCAAATCAGTAATCAGTATTTCCTAAGCAGTATGACCTTTCTCTATACACATTTTCATGGCTGAGAGCAATCCTTGGCTTCACAGTGCTCTTTCCATGATTAGTCTTTACTTCTGTCCTTCTGTTTGTTTGGTTTCCATCAGCTCAGACAAAATTTCCATGACTGAATTTAAATGTGGTTGATGTCGTCATATTGTGCTGGGACTTTGGGGAAGGTGTCTTATTCTCTCTGTGTCTTTTCCCATTCCCCTATTCCTGATATCTAAAAAAATCCTAGACTGGAAGTAATAACAAACATGCTATCTTTTTTTTTTTTTGTAGTTTGCTTGGAAAAATGTTTAGCTTTTAGATGTCATGGAACTCCTTCTGAATGTAATGTACTTTTCTTATCAGGACCTAGAGGAACCCCTTAGGATGAAGCTAAGTCTTACCAAGGTGGTTAATGGCTGTCGCCTAGGAAAAATAAAAAACCTAGGCAAAACAGGGGACTGCACCATGGACATTCCAGGCTGCCTTCTGTACACGAAGACTGGCTCTGCCCCACACCTGACCCATCACACACTGCATAAGATCCACGGGGTTCCTGCCATGGCTCAGCTTACACTGTCGGCACTGTAAGTATGAGGCCTTATCGTTCACATGTCAACCCTGGCAGCAGCTTGGTTACCTTAATAAGGTGTTGTAAAGAGAAAGACTTCTTTGCTTACGTGCAAAATCTGTGGGTTTTTTAGAATGAAATCAGAAGAGAGATATCAAATATTGTACATCATCTGGCCCTAATCTGGAATCATGGGCCAGACCTACGTGATAGAGCTGCTTCACTTTTCCATACCGCCCACATTGCCACTGCTCCCAGGGGTGACAGGGCCTGGAATGCTCTATGAGGGCTAAACTTGGAACCTAGGGGCTGTCTTCATGCACCAGCCTCAAAGTTTTCTCTGTCTCTGCACATGTTCTACTCTAGGGAAACAACTAAAGAGTGAGATCATTTTGTGTAATGGACATACTGACCTCATCCCTAATTGAAGAATCTGCTGTAAGATCAAATAACTCTGTAAGATTGTGTTAATAACAGTGATTTTAAAGGGACAAGGGAAAGAAGAAAATCGAGATATTCTGAGGCCATTGCTCTTTGCCAATCTCTCCTCTCACAGAACCACTTGCAAATTGAAGAGCTTTGCTCTGGCTAATGAACCCAACCTAATGAGTGGGGACTCTTGAGTAATGGTGTACTTGGTGGTTTGAGACTACATTTACTGTCACGTAGCTTGTTTGGGTGAGCAGAGGGCTTCAGTTGTTGCATAGAGTATCTGTAGAATGATTCATTATTATGTTACATAGTTTTCTGTTTTCCTTACAGGGCAGAACATCACGAAGTCTTGGCAGAATATAAGGAAGGAGTTGGAAAGTTTATAGGTAAAAGTTAATCAAGTTATTTGTGTGTGCCTTGTGGTGTATTAATTTGGAGGTTGGAGATGCTGTTTATTCTTTGATCCTTCATCCATACATTTATTTATTCATTAATTTAATAAGCATTTAATGAGTATCTAAGAACCAGGAACGCCTTTGAACTGGGGATTCAAAGATGAGTGGGAAACAGCTGCTGCCCTCATGAAACTCAGAGCCTAGCTGGGATAAAGATAAACAGGTAATTCTAGTAGAGCGTGGTGACTACATTTACAGGATCAGGTGTAGATACATGTATCATGAGAGCCCAGAGGAAGGAACACATAACCTGCTGTTGGGTCCATGTGGAAGGAGGTCAGAATAAAGGAAGTATTCTTGACAAAGAAGATGACGGGGCGCCTTAGCTGGGTCAAGGAAGAGTAGGAGTTAGCCAGGTCAGGAGGTGGGTGCAGTGGTGGTGGCAGACAGGTGTGAGCAGACACTCCAGGCAAAGAGCAAAGACCTAGAGGTGAAGGACTGCATGGGACACACCTAAGATCCAAAGCAGGCTTGTCTGTTTGCACCTAAAACATAAGGCAGAGGATGAAGAGTCTATATTCAGCTATATTCTGATATGTTAATATTATCTTCTGTTCCAGAAATAGGATTTTGAATGCTGATCTATGTGTCCATTTATTTATAGGAAAAGCTTAGCAGGGACAGCCAGAGAACCAATTCTTCTTAGACCATTTTCTCTTGAAGCTTTTTCGCAATATCTAGGACTCACTTAAATGAATGAAAATCCTGCTTCCATTGGTTGTTCAGTCCTCTGCTTCTGAGGGAAACTGCATGACAACTTGGTTGTCACAAGGACCTGTGTTTCAGGAGAGGAATTTATATAATGTCGTTTTCCTTGATCTGAGACCAATTTTAATAACCAGCTTTAAAGTATACGAGTGTATAATTAAGTGAAAATAGCTAATATAAGCTTTGTAGAGATAATTGTAATAATTGAAATTGTAGACAGTAAGGTGGAGAACTGCAGAGATTTTTGTTTGCTTTATATTTTTGGTCTTTTTTCAGCAAAATTCTGTTTTTTTCTTATGAAAATGCAGCATATGAAATTTAAGTACATATGGCTTAGTAAACTTTTTTTGGATTTTTTTTTTAAACAACTATCTTTTTGATTAAAGAACCTAAGAAACTGGCATCTTGAGTAAATGAAACTCATTGAAAATGAGATCTATTTGCAATGTCCTACAGCTTTTCTATAATTCTGTCCCTAGGGACCCATGGTGTGGGCTGGATTTATTATTAGTAAGATTACCTATTGACTGTATAATTTCATCTTTCCAGTAGCTAGTTCCCCTTGGATAGTGCCTAGAATGACCATACTTGGTATTAAATTCTTCAAAGCGAATCAAGTAGGGTCAACATATCATTAAACACTTTCATTGTATCATACTTCAGGTTATACCTTTCCTTTGTAGCAACTCGCTATGTCTTCAGACATGAACCTTTACATTTAATTCTTCTTTTAGATTAGTAGGTTTCAAAGTAATCTTTTCATTCATGTTGGCAGGCCTCCTACAATTCTAAGATAAAGTATGAGCAATTTATTGTGTTTTAGACTTGCTTTATCCAGCAGTACACATTATGAAGCTGCTCTCTGTTACAACACAGTGTAATTGTTGATGTAAGTGCTCTCAAGGGTTCTTTTTTTATGTTTATACAGGCATGCCAGAATCACTCTTGTACTGCTCCCTGCATGATCCAGTCAGCCCTTGCCCAGCTGGTTATGTAACAAATAAGGTATGTTCTCAGAAGGTCCTCCAAGGCTGAAGGTTTTTCTCAGGAAGTCAGCCTATGGGATCTCTCAGCTGCAACGATCCCACTGCTTGGGATGCTGAACCATTCCAGACCCCTTTATGCCTTCTCTTTATTTCTACGACTATAGTGGGATGGTGTGGTTCATAGGAGTTAGAGTGGGGCAGCCCAAGGATAAGGTTAAGGTAAGGACTGTATCCTCAGCTTTTTCATTGTTGCCCAAAATTTGGGAGTAGAGAAAGGTCAAGTACATGCCAAAAAAAGAAATTGCTATGATGGTAGAAAACAATAGTCTTTTGATACCATGCTTTATTTGAAGTTTTAACAACCTCAGGAATAGTGGGGAAAGTTGCTGACGAGTATTATCACATGTATAACTATATATAGTAGAATCTCAGTATAATACTGCTTTTTAGAACAGAATTTGAAAAAGCTGGAGATTTTAGCTGGTGAAAAACAGTATTCAAAGGACTTCCTTAAAAGTTTTAACCTGAGATATGGCCCCATTGCATTGTCCCTGAGGACAGCATTCTAGAAAAGCTTTAGTATATATTGCCACTTTACAAACAGTTACTTTTCTTGCGCCCACTTTATTGATATCAACAATATCTATTAATCTTACCTAAGGTAACTATTTTAAATTTGTCTTCTGTTTTACACTTCTTTTTATTTTGTAATTTGAATTCAAAAGAAAATATTTTGACCTCGGTTGTCTATTCCATTTATAGAGAAAGGGAGAAACGATTCATTTAAACAGTGTTCTTGTGCCAGAATAAAAAGATTATATGTGGCCCCGCATTTATGTCCATCTCTTCTAAGAAGAGAGATGCTGTAGGGAAAGGAGTAACCAAAAGTACATATAGAGATTCTTGTGTACTATGGGATTTATGTCTTTGCACATATTTCTGTATCTAACTCAATCTAGTAAACACTTACTAAACATTAATAATGTGTGAGGCCCCAGACTGTGCACTTGGGGTACAACCATGAATTCGGATACTCTAGTCAGACATATATACAATGGTGTGATAAGGACTATCTTTTCTTTTTCTTTCTTTTTTCCTTTGTTTGTTTATTTATGGCTGTGTTGGGTCTTCGTTGCTGTTCATGGGCTTTCTCTAGTTGCAGCGAGTGCGGGCTACTCTTCGTTGTGGTGCGTGGGCTTCTCATTGCAGTGGTTTCTCTTGTTGCAGAGCACGGGCTCTAGGCGTGCGGGCTTCAGTAGTCGTGGCACATGGGCTCAGTAGTTGTGGCTTGTGGGCTGTAGAGCGCAGGCTCAGTAGTTGTGGCGCACAGGCTTAGTTGTTCCGCAGCATGTGGGATCTTCCCGGACCAGGCATCAAACCCTTGTCGCCTGCATTGGCAGGTGGATTCTTAACCCCTGCGCCACCAGGGAAGCCCCAGGGCTATCTTTTCTGTGAAAGAAATAAATACAAATTGCTGAAAAATCTTATAAGAGTGAGCAATTGATTATGCCTAGTAACGTTTGGGGAACACAATAGAGTAGATGGTATTTGAACTCCTATGTCTTGAATAGTATTTTACCAGGCAGAGAAGTAGGGGAAGGCCATTTCAGTCAAAAGGAACAATGTGATCAAAGACAGAAGAATTAAAGTCTGTGGTGTATTCAGGAACAGCAGGGGGTGGCGGAGAATGGAAGACTGGGCTTCTGGAAAAGTAATTATAGAATTCTGAGCGCTAACTCAGAAGGTGGCTTGTGTGGCCGTTGAAAGACTCTATCGGAGTGCCTCTGAGCTATCAGGTCCTTAGAGAATTTGGAATATAGTATAGGAAACCTCTTTACCCACCGTGTCTAGGATATTGAATTGCCACCATCTCTCCATCTGTAAAGAAGAGTTGAGTTCAGGATTGCTTTGATCATTTTATTATTTTCTTTTTCTTTTCATGTTACTCTTCCGAATCCCTCATCGTCTTGTCCTGTGGCAGTCAGTGTCTGTGTGGGGTGTTGGAGGACGAGTGGAAATGACTGCCTCCAAGTTCATGGCAATTCAGCAGGTCCTTCAGCCAGACTGGTTCCAGTGTCTTTCAGATGGAGAGGCAACTTGTGATGAAGCCACTTCCATAAAGAGAGCCAGAAAGTCTGTTGACCGATCGCTTCTATTCCTGGATAATTGTCTGAAGCTACAGGAAGAGTCAGAGGTAAAGCCGTGCCACTCACCACTCCTTTCTCTTAGAAACTCTCGCTCATTTACGTTCCAAGATACCACCCTTTCTTCTCCTTCTGCTTCTCTGCTCCTCATTTCTTGGAGGAAAAATCACCTGATTTTTTTCCTGATTGTTTTATTGCTCTTTAGGATTCTGTCTTAGGCTCTCTTTTCACCCCTCACTATTTGTTCTCCCTGGGCAGCTCCCCTTAGTTTAAATTGCTGAAAATTCTAAACTTGTGTATGTAATGGAGATCACTCTACTTAGCTTTAGAATTACATAACCACAGGCCTTTGCTAGGTTCTGTCACTAGAGTATTCCTCACATGCACCTCAAACTCAGAGATAACCAAACTCAGCGTCTCCCGTCCTCTCACCTGCTCTTCCTTTGGCTCTCCCTCAATACTCTGTCTCCCTTTGTGGCAGCCCCCAGCTCCTCAGCCCAGAGATTTGAGTCTTTCAAGACCCCTTTTAATATCCAAGTAATATTCAGTTTTTCACTCCACCTTGGTTCCAGTTCCCTAAATAAGTCTGGAATGTGCCCCTCCCCACCCTTCTTGTCTCCTTAAGGCACAGTAACCTCATCATCTCATGAGCTGGGGAAGATGAAGCTGTAGCAGTGAATAAAGGATCTTGATAGCAGAGTTAATAAAGCTGGAAAAGGAAGGGTTCATTAGGAGAGAGCAGAGGAGGTGGGAGAACAGGAGATACGACCAGAGGAGAAGCTGTCAGTGTCTGATCATTTATGTAGAGTAATCTTGAGCAACAAGTGGGCCCCACTACGGCAAAAGCGCACGGAGTTTCAAAAACGTCATTATTTTGAGTTTACCAATAAAAAATATAACTTGGCTAATCAAGTTAATATACATGAAATAATTAGAGGAAGCTTACTTGTCGTTCTTAATAGAACTCTCAGTATGGGCAGTAAGGGTCCAGCATGGGGCCATGGCTGTGGGTCTGCATTGTTAGCTCTGCCAACAGTTGTTTGCTAGCAATTGTTTTGAGCCAGTAATTATCCTCGTAGGATAAGTAATGTTTGGATGAGGAGAAAGGGAGGACAGGGCGTGTGACGGAGCATGATTATTAGATGAGCCTCAAATCCCTCTTCTGTGTTCAGTCAGCCTGACCATTTCACGTTGTTTCTGTGCGTTGGTCAAATGCAGGGGTCCCTCTCTGTACCCCTTATGCTCACGCTATTGTCTTGACATGATTATTGATAGTGCCCCCTTTTACTTTTAAATGTGTCCCGTTTTAGACAATAAATTATATGGTTATAGTTCTTACACCGTGAAAATGAATTTCCCAGATGGGGCTGTACCGGTCACGGAAAGGGGCAGGCCGTGTAACTGTCTCCTTTGTATGGCGGCATACATCTTTTCCTCTTCCTGTGATTTCTTCCCCTCTGATTCACTGACTCCTCTTCCTCTGAATGCCCTTAAATGTTGAAGCTCCCCAAGGTTCTGTTGTCGGCTTTCTTTCCTTCTCCATGCATTCCCTAGGCCAGGGATGGCAAATGAGTTCCATCTCAAGGTGCTTGGAGCTGCTCCCAGGTGCAGCGGGGTGAGGATGGCCCGCTGGCTGGCTCTGTCTGCCATGGCAGCAGGCGTGGGGAGTGGCAGCACTGTGTCAAGCACCTACCGTTCTCTCTAGGCTGGGCAGTCACACTTTATATACATATCCCTGACTTTCGGTCCGTATGTTCAGTGGCTGATACCTCAAACCCAGAATGCACGGAAGAGAATAATCATCTTGCCTCACCCTCCACTGTTTTCTTAGGATTCCCTGTCTTTGCTCCTCTCGTCATCTCCCTGGACTTCTGAAATTGGAGCCAGGAGTCCTCCTAGATTTTTGTCTTCGTCCTCCCCCCAGGCAACTAATCGGTCAGGTTGAGTTGATTGTACCTCCTGATGAGGTTTCAAATCCTCTTTCTCCTCTTCACCCCCACCCCCCACCCCGCCACTGCCTTAGTCCAGATCTTCTTCGTCTTTCCCTGGATGATTAAAGTCGTCTCCTACCCCATCCTACCCTCCCCTCATTCATTCTCCGTGCAGCAGATGAAGTGTTCTTTCTGGAGGAGTAGACTGATTGTATTCCTCCTACTTAAAGCAAAAAGCAAAATTCCCTCTTTATAGCCTTCCAGGCTCCCTCCCCATCCCTCTCTTCTACCAGAGAGCCACTGTTGATTGTGTTTTTCCCTGCAAACCTTATTTTTTACAGTTCCATACACATAACTATTACACATATGCATGCCTATGTGTGGTTTTTATTACATGAATATGATCATCTATTCAAAAATTTGCTTGTTTTTATTTAACAATATCTTGAAACTCTTTTCCTGTCAATGTATATGTTAATATATGTTCTGCTTTCTTTTTAAAACAGCTATATAGGAAGCCTACTATGAACATATTATATTGATACTTTACTTAAGCCTTTACTCTATTTTTTTTTTTTTTTTTTTTTTTGTACACGGGCCTCTCACTGTTGTGGCCTCTCCTGTTGCGGAGCACAGGCTCTGGACGCGCAGGCTCAGCGGCCATGGCTCACGGGCCCAGCCACTCCGCAGCATGTGGGATCTTCCTGGACCAGGGCACGAACCTGTGTCCCCTGCATCGGCAGGCAGACTCTCAACCACTGTGCCACCAGGGAAGCCCAAGCCTTTATTCTATTGATGGATGTTTAGCATGTTTCCAGTTTTTCATTATTCTAAACATCTTTCGCAAATAAACCTTGGTACATATGAATGAATATATTTGTAGGAGATATTCTTAGAAGTGGAATTTTAGGATATATAAAGATAAAAGCATTGACGTTTTGGTAAGTGTTATCTACTTGCCCTCCCAAGAGGCTGAACTAATTTTTATTCTCTCTAGTTATCAGGGTATATAAATGCCATTTCTCTAACACTTTTACCTCTGCTATGTTGCTCTCTGTCTTTTAACTTTTTTGTCGGTGTGATAGGCAAAAATGGTATCGAATTATTTCCAGTTTTCATTTCCTTACTTGTGAGGTTTAGTAAGCTCTCCAGATATGTACGAGGCATTCACATTTGTTTTTCTGAAGTTCATAGTCACATATTTGCCTAGATTTCTATGGGGTTGTCATTTCCTTAGAGGATTTGTCGGAGCTTTACCTATGGTGTAGACATTTATGTGTTCCTCCAAAGAATAAGTTCCCCTTTGTCTTTGTTGATAGTATATTTCACTAGGGAATTTTTATTGTTTTTGTACTCAAATATGTCTGCCGTTTCCTGTAAGCTTTAGCTTGCTTTGAAAGGCCTTCCTTATCTCAAGACTATAAAAATATTCAACCTATTCTTCTAATACTTGTATAGCTATATTTTTTATGTTTAGATCTTAGGGCCATCTGGAATTTATTTATTTATTTGCGGTACACAGGCCTCTCACTGTTGTGGCCTCTCCCGTTGCGGAGCACAGGCTCCGGACGTGCAGGATCAGCGGCCATGGCTCACGGGCCCAGCTGCTCCGCGGCATGTGGGATCTTTCCGGACCGGGGCACAAACCCTTGTCCCCTGCATTAGCAGGCAGACTCTCAACCACTGCGCCACCAGGGAAGCCCTGGAATTTATTTTTGAGGATGGTGTACAGTAGTAATTTTTGTTTTATCTTTTTCCAAATGGACAGTCAGTTGTCCCATCCAAACAGTTTTGCAGTTCCTAAAGGTATTTCTAACTAAGAGATTTAGAAGTAACCTAAGGTAGACCAGGATAGCCATTTATAGAAATTAAAACTGTTGCTTTTGTTCTTTTCCTCTTATACCTGCTTGGTGTGTGCTTAATTTAATCTAAGCTAAAGCCTGATTAACTATGTTGATTGCCTCAGCTTCTCTTCAGTCTTTTCTTCCCTTTTTGAGTGGCTTTCAAATTGTGTTCTTTCGAGCCCTAAGGGTTCTTAGGAAGGCGGTAAGGCTCATTTAAACAAAGGTCTCCACTACTGGAAACAGTTAAAAGCGTTCAATCCTTTCTTACCTTAGGTCCTCCAGAAAAGTGTGATCATTGGAGTGATTGAAGGTGGAGATGTGATGGAGGAGAGGCTGAGGTCAGCACGAGAGACAGCCAAGCGGCCTGTAGGTGGCTTCCTTCTGGATGGCTTTCAAGGGACTGCAACCCTGGAGACTAGACTGCACTTGCTGTCATCAGTCACTGCGGAGCTACCGGAGCACAAACCGAGGCTAGTGTTCAGTTAGGGTGCAGGCCGAGCCTGGTGGGCTGCAGAGCAGGGGTGCTGCCGAATGTGTGGTATGCAGTCTGTACATGGGTGTGTCTTTTCATGTTTGGATTACGTTCTTTCTGGGCTGAGTCTGCTGAGGCAGACTGTGGAGGAAGTTTCCATCAAGGCTGTCTTGCCTTTGATTTCAGAATGTAGACCAGAGGACACTGCCATGTGAATTAGTTTATTTGATCCTCATTATAAGTGAGGGCAAGTGTTATATTGGTTCCCCTCATTCTTGTGTCAATTGTAAATATTGTTCTTTATTCACTATAACCTGGTGCCTGGGGACAGATAGAAAGTCATGTGGAACTCTGGCCTTAAGCAAGTAAAGTTGAGGACAGACCTGGGATGCCTAGTGGAATGAAGATGGGTTCTGTCAATAAGGTCCTTTAAGAAGTTCTTAGATTTGAGGCAGGTAGTGAGTGGTATTATTTTTTGAAATCAAGGGCACTGGCAACCCTAGTGGGGTTGGTTCTTTCCATCAGTCACAGGATTCATTATGTGCTGGAGAGAAGAGTGATCTGCAAGATTCAAAGCTAAAAATCCCCAAGTTTCTGAGTATAGCCAATGTCTTATTAGACTATTCAAATTTTTTCTTTCTAAAAAACTGTAGTCTTTTATCCCAGTTGATATGAGTATTCATGCTTTTTTCCTACAGATATATTAAGAGGTTTGATTATGGGGTGCTGCTTTATACCCCTTGGGCTGCTGGATATGTGTATGTAATTTTACTACTTTTTTAAAAAATCCAGGTATAGCTTGCAGTTAAGTATATGAATCTTATGTATACCCTGATGAATTTTTATTTGTATATATGCTTGTGTAAACACCAGCCAGAGCAAGCTATTGCCATCACCCCAGCCAGCATTCCCCCCTCCCCCCGCCCGCCCGCCCCAGTTTTATCCTAGCTCTCTGTGTTCATTGCTTTCCCTCCTGTGCTTATTTCATTCTGGTGTGGATGATAATTCAGCACTAGTATTTCTAGTCATTTTCTGGACTCCTTTTGAGTTAAGTGCTCACAGATGTCTGTTACTGGATTTGAAAGCTGGGATTGTTTTTCTTTCTATAAGTGTGTAGAAATGCCAGCTTCAGTTGGAGAGGAGTTCTAAAACATGACATTACTTGAAGGAAACTGTAGTCAGAAAAACCAGCATATATTTAAGGGTTCTAGTTGTTTAATATTACATAAGCCTTTTTTTGGACTTCTTTTAGAAATCAGGGAGTCTATAAGCTTTTCTCTGCCAGTTTGTGAAAGGGACCTATGAGTAGAAAAACAAACATAAAAAATAGCAGCCAGCCAGCCAGCCCTAGTCTAGTGCATTTCCTCATCTTGTTTTAGTGGCAAAACCTGGTTGAATGTTATTAACACTCAGAATTCATTACCCATTGCCTCTGGAAATACCATCTCATTCTACCATGCAGACATTTTATTAATGGAGAAAATATAAAGAAGCATAAAGAAAACTGACTAGATTCTTCGAGCCTGTGGGCAGAGTTGAAATTCCGAGAGCAAGAATTGCTTCATAAATGAACCTGTGAAGAATACAGTAGATAAAAATGTCTTTCTTGAAGCAATTATGAAAAAGAATTATAAGCAAAATACAGTTAAAACATGGAAGAGTATTTGAAGGGGAAATAAAGCACACAGCTTTGCACTAAAAAAAATCTTATGTAGTGGATAGGAAGACTACAAAGTTCAGCCTGAGACTACGGAGGTTATTTCAGAAGGGATGAGAAGGGAAGGAAAACTAACCTTTGTTAAGCTTCTCTTTGGGGCAGAAACTACACTTTGTGCTTTTGCGAATATATCATTAATCCTTACAACCAGTCTATGAGGTATGTATTCTTGCTGTTGTTTTTAAAATGAGAAAACTAAAACTCAGAAAGGTTAAGCAACCTTCCCAAAGTAACACAGCAAGTAAATAAATGGCAGGGCTGGGATTCTGGTCCAGGTCTCTCTGCCTCCAAAGCTCTATGTTCTTTCCATACACCTCCTTATCTGCTGCCTGCCACGCTAACCATGATTTTTGTTATTATTACTGTTAATGCTCTCTGGAAAGACTCTCTGATTTCATTCCTGGCATTGTTCTTATGTCACTGTTCATATTATTTTCACAGGCTCATCTGCGGTGTTAGCCAGCCAGATGAGGTGCTCGAGTGTATTGAAAGAGGAGTGGACTTATTTGAGAGTTTTTTCCCTTATCTAGCAACAGAGCGGGGATGTGCCCTCACTTTCAGCTTTGATTACCAGCCGATTCCTGAAGAGACATGTAGGTCTTTTGAAGTTAATCTCTGTGCTACCCTTAAATTCTATTTCCTATCAATTTTTGCCTTGAGTTACAAGCCAGAAATATGTGCATACTATAAAGCCAGCCTTTTATAAAACTATGTCTTTGTTTCTTATCTGTACGCCCTGGCATGTTGGCACACAAAACCAGGCACTTAATACTATACACATAGCTCATCAATATTAGGAAGTGATTTTGTAGTGAGCAGAACCAAGAAAAACAAAACCTCTTCTATTAACAACCTGAAAAAAGAGCATTCAGAGTGAATAGTGATGAAAATCTAAGAAAAGAAAACCTTTGAACTGCTTGGTAAAAGTTAATTTGTTTTTTCACAAAAGAGTTCTTGTCTGCTTTTTGCAAACCCCATGCTATTAATATACAGGGAGTCTCATCCCCTCTGATCCTAGTGTTACTTTTGCTTTTTTGGTTTTTTATACATACTGAGATGTGAAAGCTGTTTTCCTCTGCTAATGGTGCTTTGAAGCACTGCCATTTTCTTTTAGTGTTTAGTTATTCAGAGGTCAAGAAAAGCAGTTTCAGATTCTAACATTTAACTGGCAGTAGAAAAGGAACCAGGATACAGACTTTGGGTTGGGGTCCCTTGAAGTGTCTCCACAGTGTTTCAGGAGAATGTTGTGTGCCTGGCCTTCCGTCTGGCCTTCAGAGTGTGCTTTCCTTTCTCTCCTCCTGCTCTCCGTTGAACTCTTGCTCTATCACCGCCAGCCTTAAATTTGAGTAGGGCCAGAGACTTCTTTAAGGGTTCATTTTATTCCCCACAAGTGATGAAAATTTCATTCAGAATATGTTACACTCCTATAAAGCAACTTAAGCGTTAATCTAAATGGAATTAGTTCTAGAAACAAAATCAATCAAGTTGATCAAATTCATATATAGAGGAGGTCAATTTTACTGTCTTTTAGACAGACTAGAACGTAATGTATTTGGATAGGCACACCATAAACACTTTATACATGTTCATGACTTCATTTACAAGTGAAATTATCTCTGCCAGGACATAGGTGACATTCTGTACCGTGAATACGCAAAACTCTACAAAGACCCTGATATTGAATTCTCTGTAACAAACACGTTCCTTTTGGGCCAGAGAAAGCCAAATTTCTTTATGATTGGGAAAACTGAGTTTGAACATTTTTCTGCAAATATTATGAATCACATTTGTGTGCGTGTGTGTGTATAGTAAATTGAGGCTTTTTGCCAATTACAAAGTGAAAATTCCAAAGGAATAAGTTGCATAATGTAGGCAGCAATTCCCCCTAGTAACACTAGTTACTATGCAAAGAGCCAGCTGCTCTGAAGAGAGGCAAGTAGATAAGTATTCCTGGTGTTTCTCTTGCAATTCCAGGAATGTTCTTTCTTAAAGCAAAGAGTTCAAGGGAACAACTCAAGTCCCCATTTAATTATAAGATATATACTTGTAACTACTATTCACTTAGACATAGTTGAATCTCCAAGTTTTGATACTATAGATAATAGGTCATTGATCATCTTGTTACATATTGCCTTGTTTTTCTTGTGCTATTTCCTTCGGATAAGTTCTGAGGAGTGGAATTACAGGGTCAAAGGGCATGAAATAGTAACTAAAATAAAATTCTCCCAATGGCCATTCTTTATCTGATCCTCATTCAAGACTTTTTGTTGGTTTGTCCTTTAGTACTGCAACAAAATGGGACAGAGGAAGAAGTAAAATATGTGGATCAAACAAAGAAGAGTAAAACAACTAGTTGCAACCAAGAAATCACATCATTTGAAATTAATCTGAAGGAAAAAAAGTAAGGAATTTTTTTTAAGTATGGATTTTGATTTCTGACTTTTTAATTTCAGTCTGTTTTGAAAGTTTATATAACTGTTCCCTTTTCAGTTCATGACTTCAAAAAATATTTATAGTTGGATATTGTTTGGGCCTTCTCAAATTCAGTGCCAGCAGTACTCTTTTTCTCTGCAGATGAATTTGTGTACTTTGTCTTGTCAAAAAACTGAGGCTAGATAACTGCTGTTTTAGAAGAGCTGTCAGAAAAATTAGACCAGATCCATTGTTTGGTGTTCTTTACTCCTTATGATTACTTTAAATAATAACAGTGTAAAATAAGGATTTCAAGATAAAATATTACAACAAAATGTTTAAATTTTAAGGAATTTAAGCCATCTTGGTTATATACAGATTATAAATCTTAAATAAAATATTTGCCTCTATAGAGACTTAACTAAGATATCTTATAACTTTGTATTTGGCCAAAAGTGGAAATAATCAGTGAACCAGTGAGTGGTTTTTCTGTGAACTTGGTATACTCACTTTAATGCTGGGGTGTTTTTGGTCGTACATAAAGGGACATTTTAGGGACTCAGACTTATTTATGTCTATCTAGTAACAGGACAGACTTGAAAATTTATGAAAGAATATGAAATTCCTAGCTCTTCTTTCTATAGTAATTTCTTGATTATAGGTCTGTAATGGTGACGTTTATCACATTTGACTTCTTGAAAAATAGCCAAGGAGATTCATTTCCATTTTTAAAAAGCTAGGGTAATATAAATGGTTACTACTAAAATTCACTTTACATTATAGATATAATTGGAAACTGCAATATTTTTATCATCAGCGCTAGAAGTTTTGGAGATTTGGTGTTCAGATTGTAGCCTTGCTTGTGACTGTGTGACCTTGGTCAAGTCATTTAACTTCTTTTTAATAGCTGATAGAAAGTAGCACGTATATAGTGCTTAGCATGTACCTAGCAGTGTCCTTTACTATATTAACTTATTTAATTCTTGTAACAACTCTATTAGGTAGGCACTGTTACTGCCTTATTACATTTCAGATGAGAAAAGAAAGACACAAGGGGAGGTTAAGTGACTTTCCCAAGTGAGTTGTGAGCCAGGAACCAACCCCAGGCATTGTAGCTCCATAGCCCTCCCTCTTAAACCCCTTGGCAGTCTTCACTGGTAAAGTGACAGGAAAAATGCCTATCTCGGGCTTCCCTGGTGACGCAGTGGTTGAGAGTCCGCCTGCCGATGCAGGGGACACGGGTTCGTGCCCTGGTCCGGGAGGATCCCACGTGCCGTGGAGCAGGCGGGCCCGTGAGCCGTGGCCGCTGAGCCTATGCGTCCGGAGCCTGTGCTCCGCAACGGGAGAGGCCGCAGCAGTGAGAGGCCTGCGTACCGCAAAAAAAAAAAAAAAAAAAAAAATGCCTATCTCCATGGGTGGTTGCAGAGATTAAATGAGACAGTATATATAAAAGTTTTTTGTAAACTGCAAAAAGCTATGCAAGTAAAAGGTCGTATCATCTCTTCTAATATTAGCTCTGGTGGCGAGTGGGAGAAAAGTGTCATTCATCAGAACAGTGTCTCCTGACATTTTTGTGTGCCTTTACAGTGTGACTAACCCTGCTCAGCAGGGGGGAGCGAGCACGTGACTCTTCTGCTGCTCCTTGGTAAGCCTCAGTCTAGGAGGTTGTATCCATCTGAGGAAGACTCCTGAGTCTCCTGGCCCATTGTACTCTCTGTTAACTTTTGACCACATTGCCGTCTTAAGCAGGTGCCTGGCACTACGTTTGCCAGTTGTGTTACTAACTATTGGTTACGTGCCAGCAGAATAGGCTAGTCTAGGTTGTCGAGGTCTTGTTTTCCTCACTTTCCGGAATATCGTTGTAACTTCCTTTCTCAGGTACCAGGAGGACTTTGATCCGCTCGTGAGAGAGTGTCCCTGTTACTGCTGTAAGAATCACACTCGTGCGTACATCCACCATCTGCTGGTGACCAACGAGCTGTTGGCTGGCGTCCTGCTTATGATGCACAACTTTGAACACTACTTTGGATTTTTCCAGGCCATCCGGGAAGCACTAAAAAGTGACCGACTGGCACAGTTGAAAGAGCTCATCCACAGGCAAGCATCTTGAGACCTGGTATGCATAACCTGACTCTTCACATTGAGCCTGCACCACGGTTGTAATGTGGGAGGAAGACAGCAGGAAGTGATCTTCACTTTAATCACTTACATTTGAGAATGAAGTCTGCTCAAATAAGGAACGTCTGTACTGTACTCTGCCCGCCTGAGGCTAAAGAGACTTCTTCATACGACTGAAATGACCTAGAATCACCTAGATTGATCAGAAAGAATTGAAACCTGACCTTGAATATTTCTGCGCTAACTCTTTTAGTCAACAGAGATTCGTTTAGTCAAAGATAAAAGCTTTAGATGTGAAGGGACAGCCTTGAAGTGGGGATGATGAGAATCTGAGGGTTCACTGAGTTGGATTGGAGCTTAAAGGGAATTGATTGGTCATGAGTAGCATGACCTCTGTGGACACATGCCTGTTGACCAAGAAGGAATTTGTCTGATTCAAGAGTTTTCTTCGTTTTAATCCTTATATTCTCAGGGGTCTCTTTTGGACACTTGTGCCTTCCAAGCTGTCCTGGCAGTGCAATCAACCTTGTGATTTAACCAGGCTCACATCTCCATGGAATGTGGAGCTCACACATTGCTCCAATGACCAGTTGGCCCAGGGCACACTCTTCGTTTGACCATATGGTCTTTCTGTGACTTGTCTCACTAGAGTCAGCGCAGTTGCCTATTAGGAGCTGAAAGTTTGCCTAGCTGCTTTCATCTGGTCGTACAGATCCACTGTGGTCTGCCTTTTAGGCTCATTAAGAGTCGAACCACATAATAACTGGAGCTACATCACCTGGGGAGATTCAGTCACCATGTGCTCACTTGGACGGAGCCCTGGCCTGCCAGTTAGAGGATTGGGTTTCAGTTCTACTCGACTAAGACACTTGGGCAAATCACTTAACCTCTCCATGCCTGTTTCCTCCTGAATAAATGGGGACAGGCAAAGTGAATAGTACTAAACGAATTTCTAAGTTTCCGTTTAGCTCTAATATTTGGGGAACAAGAAGTTTTAGATTGGAACCATAGCTTTATGTGTATCCTTGTTTATTGATCACTATTGGCCTGATGAAAAATGCAGTGGTGCCAGGAGTCAGGCAACAGTAGAGATATTTGAGAGCCTAAAAAGGTTTAGCCTGTGGCTTTTAAAGTGGTTGGTAAATTGGCATCAGCAGGTCCTGAGGCTGGGAAGACCTTCGCTGATCACCTCTGATTCTCTGAATTTTTTCTGCTCTCGTCAAAGGAATGACATCATGTTGATGGTGTGAGAGGTTATTTTTATTTTCTTTGTGCTTTTCTATATTTGTCAAGCTTTCTATAAGCATACGCATACATGCACGTTTCACACATAGTTTTTATAGAAACAGCAGAACCAAAAAGATGTCTTTGTTTTGTTTGTAGGGGTATAAAATATATGTTTTACATTCTTGTGCTACATTTTTCTATTTGTTCATTTTAGTGGGCATTACTGAACCTTGTTTTTAATTATTATGTGGTTACTATATTTTTACATGTAGGGTGCCCATCTATACTGTTTTCTTTTATTAGTGGTTTAAGAACGTCCATGAATTCCAAAGCTCATGAATTCCAGAATTCATGGATATTCTTACAACCTCTCCTCCAATTAATGGCAAGGATACTTATGAAAGACAGAGTTTCTGTTCTCAAGAATCTGCTTGTTTTGGGCTTCCCTGGTGGCACAGTGGTTAAGAATCCACTGCCAGGGCAGGGGACATGGGTTCGAGCCCTGGTCCGGGAAGATCCCACACGCCATGGAGCAACTAAGCACGTGCGCCACAACTACTGAGCCTGCGTACTGCAACTACCGAAGCCCACGCACCGAGAGCCTGTGCTCCGCAACAAGAGAAGCCATCGCAGTGAGAAGCCTGTGCACCTCAACGAAGAGCAGCCCCTGCTCAACGCAACTAGAGAAAGCCTGAGTGCAGCAACAAAGACCCAGTGCAGCCAAAAATAAATAAATTTATTAAAAAAAAAACAGAATCTGCTTGTTTTGAAATATATTGGATTGGAGTTGTTCATATGTTTACAACTCCTGTTCAATGCCAAACCCATTGTTGGAGGAGTATTAATAAATATCCCAGAATCCATATAAAATTTATGAGTTTTATTTGTGTTCAAAACCGAAAATTCTGTCCAACTTTGTCCATTTTTCTGGGTCTTTTTCTCATTAGCACATTTGAAAAAAATGTTCCTTTCCTTTAATGTAAATCTATTAAGGTCAATAGCCAATAAACATTTTTAATTAAAAAAATATACTAGTCTGGTTTCCTGTAAATAGTAATGAGTCTATTAAACAAAACGTTAAATTTCCATGGTACCAGAAATGTTCTCTACTATTCCATCTGTAGTCATTGTTTTAAGTGCACTCACACTAAATGCAGAATCCCAAGAAATTCAGGGATGCACCTGTCTTTTTACATTATATAATCAAGGGCCTTAAGGCTATGCTAGCACATAATAAAAAAATAATAATAGCCACAATCTATGGAGTACTTTTACTGTGCCAGGCACCTTAGTAACTGCTTTCCACACATATCTCATTGACTCTTAGAGCATGGCTGTGAGGTGTTTATACTATTATTCCTAGCCTGAGTTTCGGGAAGGTTGAGTAGCCTGCCTGAGGGTGTACCAGGAATTTCTGGAAGGTTGAGTAGTTTGCCTAAGGACCTACCACTAGTCAGCTCCCAGGTTAGACTTGGCACCATCTGACTAAAGCTCAACAGTTAACCGTTGCACTAGCTTCTTCCTGGTGGCTTACTCCTGAGTTGAAGGGGCTATGAGAAGTGAGGACTGAAGAGATGGGTCTTCTGGCCCCGAGGTGCGGGGTGCTTCTGGAGCTTTGCTGCAGCTCAGTCCTGGTTTCCACTCCTCCACTGGAGACTAGCTGGCCCTGGCCTGTGTGACCCATGGTACCATGTTGGCACCCGTAGGTCTGTAGGTGCTCAACGTGAGTTGCCATTCCACGTCCCCCAATCCTTACTGACCCCAGTTTGGGGACTGTAATCACACCTTGAATGGTTTTGAGAGGGTTTCTGTCTGCGATCAATTAAAGTGGGGAGTCAATAGGAGTCTGAGGTTTCCTATATGCCTTGGGGGAAGGATATTTTATTATTCTCTGGGAATAAAGGGAAAAGATTCTTTTAAAACATTTTTCAAACTAAATACTTGTGTAATTAAAGCATTTTAATAAAAATTTCAAACAAAGACCATCAAAAGGTCAAGATTAGAGTGTATAAGCAACCATCTTCTCCAGGATGTTTTTTCCTGTTGAGGCAGCTTGGAGCTCACTGAGAAACCACAGAGTTAAATGATTATCCCGTGCCTTCCTAATTAGGAACAGGCTGCTCTCTGCAGTTTGATTAGTCTCGCTGGTAGCGATGGGATTACAGCTTATTAAAACTGACAGTGCTGTCGGGGGCAGGGAGCCAGGAAGGTCAAACTCACATGCTGAGCCAGCCACCAGCAAGGCTCTGCCTTTACCTGAAGGTTTGGTGTAATTGGCATTCATCCTAATATTCTTTTTCATTTCTTTTATTTTTTTCAACTGTCAAGTCTCTTCCTCATTTTACACCTTTTCTCTCTCTTCTTCCTCATGGGCGTCCCTGACTTATGACCATATAACCCAAATAACAGTTGGCCAAACCAGAAAAGCAAGCCCAGTGTAGGCAGTGTGAAGTAGGGTAAACATACATCCTCGTTGTTCACAACAGTCCTGGTTTATGTCTGTGGTCCAGGCGTCATTACTAACAGCATCCCCTTCTACTCTCAAAAGTGCCCTGTTTGGACAAGTTATATGGTCACCCTAATGTGAGTGGTGGGGATGGTCAAACTAGAGAGCAGACGCCCATCTAAACAGGACAGCTGCTACCCACCTCTTGCCAACTGCTGCTGTGGGTCCAGTGCTGTCAGATCTTCCAGTGTTTCAGAGAAGCCAAAAATCTGGATTTTCACGTGAAAACTCACAATTTTTAAATGCTGGATCAATTTTTTAAAAATATCCTGCTAGCCGGACAAAACCTAGGTGTGCCTAGTTTGCAGCCTTTGGGTTAGAATCTGGAGGGAAGACTGGCATCTTTAACATTTAGAAGTTTCTCAGGGATGCATAAAAATATATAGAAAAAGCACCTAGAGTTTCTACTTCCTGCAGCTGATTTACAGATTTCCCCATTAAGAGGTCCCCATGTCAGGAACCAAATTATTAGTTATGCTTTTATTTAAAAAAATTACCAGTTTACATAATTAATCAGGATGCATTTTAATTTCTTTTTTTGTTTATTGTGTAATGCATCACTTGGAAATACCAAGGAAATATCCTTTTGTTTTTAGTGATGTATGAGTGGAACTAATGCTAGTTGGCAGTATTTGATTCTAAGAAATCAGTAAAGTAATTGTATTTTTTTTTTTAAAGAGATCCCTATGTTGTCCCAACTCCCTGGCACAATCCCCAGATAACTCCCAGAACCATTCCAAACCTGCCCAAAGGGAAGGTATGGATCGCCTTGTTCAACCTATTTTATGGTTGAGAAATGTCAGGCCTGGAGAAGAAAGAGTAGCAGTGACGGTGTCTGTCCTCTTAAGGAGTTTAAAACAGAAGCATATTTCTTTCCAGTTACCATTTTGGCTCTCCCCCGTCCTACCCTATTTCCTGCCGGGCTGTGCCCTTCCAGGGTCAGCAGTGATTTCCCAGTACCCGCTTTCCAAGGATCCTTTCTGACTCACAAAACCAGTTGGTACGAGGACATAAGGTCTCCTGTCACACCTTCCAGCATTAACAGCAATAGTCCTGGCGACACAGCTCAATTACTGTTTGTCGAGGGAACGAAGATTTTCAGAATAGTTGAGGCATTGTCTTCAGATTTTCGCCAGCTGAGCACTGGTTAGAAGTGACTGGCACAGCAATACGTGGTGGGACCTAGGCTGAATGTCTTGTTAGTGTGGCTTTATCTCACTTTACGCTAGGCAAGCTCCCAGTGACCTGACACACTTTTATTCTCTTCTTTGACGGCTTTCTACCATTAGCATCTTCTAGTGCTGACCTCAAAGCAATTTCTCCTGCTCTGACAAGAGGAACTCAGAGTGAACTTTTCTTTTGTTCTTATTCCTCACAATCCACTTTGAGACCAGGCTGAAGTTGCCAAGGACTTCAAACGCCTGTGCCCCTGCCAGTGTGATTCAGAGGGATTAGGGCATCCCCACTCTGCACACTCTCCCTCTGCAATGTTCGCCTCTTTCTCTAAACTGCTGTCCCCTGCTGTCTGCTCCTTTGTCTGAGAAATACATTTTCTCTTATTATCCCCTTGTTCCCTGCCTCTTTCTGATGACTTAGGAACAAAATCAGGATGTGGCTATTAATGGTCTTCTTTCTTAACAGCCCAGAGTCACTTCCTTTTATTTAGTCCATTTTCCCTTCCCTCCCGAACAACATAATCATCTCTGCTTCAGATAAAAGTTTCATAACCATTTCATAACTACTCTTTATCGTTGCTATCAATAAGGCATATGAGAGAGGAGATAAAAGTAAGGGAAGAGAAGCCAAAAGGTGAGGGGGTGAGGGAATCTCCAAAACTGAGAAACGGGGCAAGCATCTTCGGGATGCTTCTTTCGTGAAGAAATTAGGTAAGATTAGCCCTCAGGACTGAACGTTACAAGCCCAGTGGTCTGGTGAAGTTTTCCTCTAATTTTTATGGATGGAATGGGAAGATGGTCTCCCCTCGGAGGATCTGATTTCCTTCCAAATGGTTAAAGTACTACTCAGAACCATCCCAGGATCATTTATGTTGGTCATAAATCCTTTCATAGAATTCAATTACATAATAGATATAAGAGTTTTTCAAATCACACCTCCCAAAAGCTAAATATTTACCCACTTTTTCCAGCATTTTCCATTCCCTACTTTATTGTTATTTTCGTTTAACAAACTTATAGAACATTTCATGACACTTCTTTGTATCATTCCCCATGATGCCAGCTGAAGAAAATACAAACTATGTAAATATATTCAGTCCCCCACATAGTAATTACACATCAAAAGAGAAGAGAATGACAGAGCATGTTCAATTTTTTCTTTTTTTACCCTGTATCTGATTTTGGTTAGACTCCAATTTCATGTTGTCTAAGTAGAAAAGTCACTTCCAGTCATGTGAAAAAAGTCAGTTCAACTCCACTTTTTGACTTGAACATTCAGCTATTACCACAAATCCAACATGTCAGAATCTAGATGTATTGTGTATGTTCCTTCAATCAAACTAGTTCTCCACTTCAACTTCCTTGCCTCTGTCAATGGCACCTGTCTTCTAGTCAATCCAGCTGGGAAACTTACTCCTTGGATGAATGGTATAATTCATAAAAGGGATGGGGATAAGATATTTTAAGGGCGAGAGCAACAAGGCTTGATGACTGGTTCAGAGGATGCAGTTAAGTCATGATTCAAGGAAGATTAACACCTGTCCTGCCCTCATCCCCTTCTTGTCTGATCCCACTCCTCTCTTTCTCTTTTAGTTTTACCATTCACTGCTACTAGGCTAAGCTGTCATAAATGTTACCTTCACCTGGGACACTCCCTGACTAAAAACCTTCCATGGCCGTCCAATGCCATATAGATCAGCACTAAGCTGGCTGCATGAATGTCTAGGCCTGTCACAATCTGGTGCTATCCAGTTGCCATGGACTTCCCTCCCCTCTTCCCCCCGCAAAAAACAAACAATGTCTGAAGCCCAGTGTTTCCCAGTTTCACTCCTTGAACTCCCTAAATTGAG